CGGTTTATTGGGAGGGCTTCTAGATTATCTCCATTTGAGTGGTTTCACAACACCATAGTTATGACTTCGTGGTTGACCTGGTGTTATAACTAGGATGTTGTATATAGGAGATAAAGTTTAGAAGCGCCACGGGTTTGATAAACCAGTGGCAACCACCCCAAACCTCCATATTACTGAACACAATATAGGTGGCTACAGTAAATCCACAAATAAGGAGTTGAATGAAGGTCCATTTATGGGGCTAGTTCAAGGACGAATGTATTGAGATTTACTGTTAGATGGGAACGAGCTCAGAGACCTCCTCGTGGTGTTCCTGGAAACTCAACTATAATGTTTTATTTTTTTTTCTTCTTTTTCTCTGTAAGTTTTATGGAGGGCTTCTAGATTATCTCCATTTGAGTGGTTTCACAACACCCTAGTTTATTGACCTTCGTGGTTGACCTGGTGTTATAACTAGGATGTTGTATATAGGAGATAAAGTTTAGAAGCGCCACGGGTTTGATAAACCAGTGGCAACCACCCAAACCTCCATATTACTGAACACAATATAGGTGGCTACAGTAAATCCACAAATAAGGAGTTGACAACAACTATGTGGCGAAATTTGTCGCTATGCCTGGTATTTCGCCAAATTGTTCGAATCTGTCCCTGCCCTTATATTGCCTAACAAACATGTCCAAGAGTCTTGAAACCCGTTAGGTGTCATTTTGGCGAAATCCGGGTTGGCGAAACCTTTATCACCCGAAACATGGGGGAGGGTAAGTAGCGCGTGCCATTATGATCGATTTACATAGCAACAGCGTCATCCATGTAGTACGCAGGTGCACTTGACCGATATCATTAGTTCATTATCGACGTTGCCAAATGGCCAAGTCCACTCCCTCTGCTGCTAAGCGGGTGCCGGCTAAAGGCAACTCTAAGGCGCCGAAGTCGTCAATCTCCAAGAAGAGCAAGCCTTCTGCCGCGCCCTCTCAAGGGCTCACTCACGTATCTAGTATAACCTATAAAGACCTCAAGGTCGGGACGCAAGTCATGGCTGCGATACAGGATATCTCTCCTGATGCGCTCATTCTAGATTTGCCTTTCAATAAGATGGGAATCGTGAAAGGTAGTATGGGGAAATATCATATTTGATTAAAATTTACCTTTGCATGGCTTTACGAGCTCGAGAGGGGACACTAGGTCGGTGGTCAATATCAGGTATATCTAATATGGTCGATGAAGATGACATTAGTGAACATATGAAACAGGGCAACGTTGCATTGAAGAGCTTCAAGGCTCAGCATAGGTTCCGTAGAGGTCAGCTTGTGACCGCGGCTGTTATTGCCAACGATGGCAGTGGTAGAGAGGTACTGAGTGGGAAAGCTTCAAACGAGCCACCCTGGAGTGTCAGGGGTCGATCCAACTCTCGTTGTTGCCATCTGTCCTCAATGCTGGGCTAACGTCTAAGACCATGAAACCTCACATGTGGCTGCCTGCTACTGTGCTCACTGAGGAGGCTCATGGGTAAGCCAATGGAAAGTGAGTGGACGTCTGAGCGATGCTGGTAGATACGTTTTGAGTTTCGGCATTGA